ATCAGGACCCATGTGGACTGCCTCTCCAACATGTAGTACTAGACCTTGCTCTGAATGCGTTTTTAAAGGAGCAGATACTTTATCATATCATCACCTTTTTTTTTTTAAGATTTTATTTATTTACTTTTGCAGTGAGAGAGAGAAGGAGCATGCACAGGAGTGGAGAGGGGAGGGGGAGAAGCTGACTTCCCAGTGAGCAGGGAGCCCCATGAATGATGTGAGGCTGATCCCAAGACTCTGGGATCATGACCTGAGCCAAAGGCAGACGCTTAACTGACTGAGCCACTCAGGTGCCTTCATCATTGTGCTTTTATATTTTAATATCACTGGTTTCCTTTGTTATTTTAATTAACATATGCATATAAATGCATTATTCTGAGAAGGGGTTGGTAGGCTTAGCCAGATTGCCAAAGGAGTCCGTGGCACAAATAAGGTCAAGAAATGGAAGATTTAAAAAAATATTTTCACCAAGTATTGATGAGAAAATAAAATGTTATATAACTCCATTACTCAGGAAAACCTGTTCAGAGCTCTCCTTGTCAAGAAGGCAGAGTGGGAAGGGCCCTGGTGCCAAATCCAGGAGACCAGAATTTTGGTCTCAGCTACATGAAGGCCCCACTAGTTACTTAAACATTTTGCATCCAGTTTTCCTCAACTGTAATGTGAGAAACTTGTCACCTAACTCAGTGTCTGACTGGCTCAAAACAGAGACTGAGAGATGTACTCTCACACGTTGCCTGTGGGAGTATAAACTAAATATGTTTCTGGAGATTAACTTTGGTTCTATGTGCTCAAAAACATTCAAATCCTTTGAACTAGCAAATCCATTACTAGAAATTAATTATTATTAGATGTAATCAGATGTACAGACAAAAATGCAACTGAAAAGATGTTCGTGGCAGTATTCTAATCGTTGCAGTTTTGTAAACATCTTGAATGTCCAGTAATTGCAGAAATTGTGGCATGTCTATACTGATAAATGCTGTCATTATGAATCATCAGAGCAGAATATTTTGTGACATTAAAAGATGCCCATGGGACACCTGGGTGGCTCAGTTGGTTAAGCGGCTGCCTTCGGCTCAGGTCATGATCCCAGCGTCCTGGGATCGAGTCCCACATCGGGCTCCTTGCTCAGCAGGGAACCTGCTTCTCCCTCTGCCTCTGCCTGCCTCTCTGTCTGCCTGTACTCGCTCACTCTCTCTCCCTCTGTCCCTGACAAATAAATAAAATCTTTAAAAAAAAAAAAAAGATGCCCATGATTTGGGGTGCCTGGGTGGCTCCGTTGGTTAAATGTCTGCATTCCACTTGGGTCATGATCCTGGGGTCCTGGAATGGAGTCTCACATCAGGCTCCCTCTAACTGCCTCTCCCCCTTCTTGTGCTCTTTCTCTTTGTCAGATAAATAAAATCTTAAAAAAAGAAATGTCGGTGATTTTATGTTGGTGGAAAAAAATGCAAAACTCTGTGAGGTGCTTCCAATTCTGTTTAATGAATTATATACATGTATATAGGCTTAGAAAAAAAACTAGTTGGAAATTTACTGAAAATGTTATTGTTAGTGGTATGATACGTATATATATATTAGAAATTTTTTAATTCACGTTAATAAATTTCCCCTTGTATTTCTCAATAAACATATGATGCTTTGTAATAAAAGAAGCAAATAATTTTATTTTTTAATTTATTTTGTTATTTTTTAAGATTTTATTTCTTCATCTGAGAGAGAGAGAGAGCATGTGTGCACAAGTTGGGGGAAAAGGGGAAGAAGACTCGCCACAGATCTGGGAGACTGTTTTGGGGGCTCCATGTGGGCTTCATGTGGGGCTTGATCCCAGGACTTGGAGATCATGACCTGAGTCAAAGGCAGGCGCTTAACCATCTGAGCCACCCAGGCATCTTGAGAAGCAAATTATTTTAAAAAGCAACACAAAATTAAGGTTATTTGTGTGAAAGTGCTTTGACAATCAAATTGTGCTACATAAATGTGTAATGATATTAGTGTTTTTCTGGAAATCGAGAAGCACAGTTGGATTCACGTTTAAATCAATAAATTTGACTGCAAGGAAGAAAAATTGGTCAGTGGGCGGGCTATGTTTTGTGCGGCTCTACAGCAGGCTGGCTCCCTCTGATTCCTCCTGCTTCCCTCCCCCTGCCGCCTGTCTCTCACTCCTGTTTGTTTTTCTCCTCCATGCACCATCCAGGCCTCCTTCCTCGGAAGGAGGGCTGTCTGGTCTTGTCTCCTGGGCTCAATCTTGCCTCAGAAATGGAAAAAGCCCCAAGGCTGGGGCCTGTCTGGCTTGAAGAGCCGGGGCTCAGTTTTGAGTGTGACATCAAAGTGCATAATGAGGGTTTTGCTGCAGATTCCAGGCTAGAGGGCAGGTGTGGGTGGCGCCATGGTTATAGGCTTCTGGGCTGTGGCCCCAAAGGAATGCTGAAGCCATTTGGCTGGATGCAGGTGAGGAAAAATCTGCTTTTTCTGTGAGAGGATTTGAGAGCATCTTGTGGTCTCCCTCACCCCGAGCTTCTGGTGCCAATTCACTGTCTAGTGCTCCTGACATCTCCACTGTTAAGGAAATGTATATAGGTCCTCTGGGGGCAGCAACCTATCCTAATACTAGGATTGAGGCTCTGGAATTAGGCCGACGTGGTTAGATTTGGATCCCAACTCCACCACTGCTTGGAACCATCACTCAGTGTCCAAGAGCCTGGGTCTCAACATCTGTAAATGGTGACAAAAGCACTCACATGCACCAGGCACACAACAGGCACAGTTCTAGAGGCCTTTCTTATATTAACTCATTTGATCTACGCAGCCACCGTACTGGGCACTTGCTGTTATCATCATGTCCATCTTAGAGACGGGGAAACTGCAGCCGGGTGGGTTGATTCACTTGCCCAAGGCCTCGCAGGGTCAGTACCAGGATGAACCCAAGTAGTGTGGCTCTAGAGTCTGCGTTTAACAACCACGTTTGGGAGCCTCACTGTAAGATGAGTCAACAACAATAACTATGATTTATTAGCAGCTCACTTAGTGCCAGTCATGACGCTAAATGCTATTCAGGAACTTCTCATCCGTGTGTCCCCATGCCTGGATGAGGCGGGGACTGTCGTTATGTGCTAACATTGACCTGCAACATGGTATACAAGGCCCTCCAGGAAAGGCTGGGCCTTGGCGAGTTTGTTACAGTATAGAAGAGCTAGGAAGTGTCCATAAATAAATATGATTCATGTAGAATCGGAGCTAAGAGATTATCTGGTTTCAACTCATTTTTTACTGAGGACAAGAACAGACTTGCTTTGTTTATTCCCATAGAGTTTGGAGGAAGAACCAGTGAGAGAACAATAGGCAACAGTTACTGGGTTCCCAGGCCCTGTTTGAGTGTGTTTATATCCTTCAACCCTCACAACAGCCAGACAGGAGAGGCCCTATTATTATGCCCATTTCGCAGATGAGGAAACAGATATGGAGAAGTTAATAAGCAGCTCATCCCACCTCCCACAGCTAGCAAGTGGCAGAGCTGGGATGCTGGCTGTGGGTTCCAGAGCTTGGCCACTAAAGCACTATGCTCTGGGCCGCCCCGCTCACGGAAGGTGGTTAAGGAACCTAGGAGGTGGATCAGGTAGATCAGAAAGTTCTTTGTAGATTACAAAGCGCTGTATAGACACAGCTTCTCATTAGAAAGAAGAGTCCCTAGAGAGTTATAAAGTCATATGAAAGGATGCCTGGGTGGTGGCTCAGTTGGTTAAGCGTCTGCCTTCAGCTCAGGTCATGATCCCGGGGTCCTGGGATGGAGCCCTGTGTCCGGCTCCCTACTCAGTGGGGAATCTGCCTTTCCCTCTGCCTCCCTCTACTCATGTTCTGTCACTCACTCCTCTCTCTCTCTCTCTCTCTCATAAATAGATAAAATCTTAAAAAAAAAAAAAAGACAAAAAACCCCCAAAGTGGTACAAAGCCCAGGGCAAGACCAAGGACTATCTCTAGGATGAGATGGCTTTGCTTTGGACTTGGACTCATGCTAAGTAGGAATAAAAATGTCCAGGGGTGGGGGAGTGTTATGGGGTGGTGGTGGGGAAGGTTCCCTAGAGTTCTCCCCCATTAGCTCAGGATGGCTGATCAGATTAGCCCATGGGCATGCTGGCCCAGGTGACGTGGTGATCAGGACCAGAGAGAGCCTTGGGGACCTGCAGAGAGCAAGCCGGCGGGTGGGGCCACTCAGAGGGGGATAAATGAAGGCACAGAAGGCTGATAGCAGGGCCAAGGATGGGGGTGAGACAGCCTGAGTTCAAATCCTGTCGTTCTACGACATTCTGATTAGGAGGCCACTGCCAAGCTACACAACAGCTGTATCTCAGTTTCCTCATCTGAAGAATGGGAACAATAATGGTGAGTCTTCAGAGGCTCATGCAAAACTGACATGCTCATTTGTTTCAAGTGTTTACTCTGATGCATGGCACACAGTAAGCACTGGAGAAGAGCTAGCCATTGCTATTTGTTATTATTGTCCCAGGAAGACTGACTGGTGTCCTGATTCAGGGAGGAATGGGGTTAGAAGGAAAGCAGACACATACGACTACTGCAATCTGCTCCTGGTAAATCGAAATCTGCTGGAGGTGAACTGGATTACAGAAGAACACGGACTGGCTCCCCGCTTTCCCACCTTAGGATTTGTTTCCGAGAATCATCAGCTCTGCTGTTCAGGAAAGGTAAGGAGTGGGAGGACGAGGAGATAAAGGCCAATGGGCCACCAGTCCTCTGGGCTAATACAGAAGGGTCAGCAGTGGTTTCTGCAGTTCTGTTGGCATTTCTGAACCGTTGTTAATTAGCCTCCTCACTCCTTTGCATACTGTGGATTTACTTTCCATTCTCACAAGCAGACACATTCCTGCAGGGAAAATGCAGATGGACGAGAAGTCTTTTCTTGAACAGACTAATGGCAGGATTGGAGGATGACTGTTGGGTGGGGACTAGGAGAAGTGAAATGAATGCAAATGTGTACTTACCCATACTCCTTTGCAGGACCAAGCTGGGTGACGGAGCTTGCATGTTGCCATCACGCCAGCCCTGCAAGGAAAGTATTTCTTAGCTCCATCGTAGAAACTTGTCTGAGGCCACAGCTAGCCCATGGAGCAGGGAGTCCAACCCAGATGAATTCAGTGCCAAGGGTCATCCTTAATACAAAATCTGAGAAACTCCTCTGACTCAGAGCTATCAGGCCTGGCCAGCCTGGCTTAGGGGAAAGGACTGCTCCATGGAAGGAAGGTATAGTTCATCCTGCTCGTAGGCCTCCTCCCAATCCCCACGAGTTGAAGTGCTGGAGGTCAGTCCTGTCTTTGGTCCAGGTGGAAGGTTGCAGTTTATTGTCACCAGCAAATTGACCTCCATCGGGATATTACTAGTTGCACTTCTATCTTCCTATTGTTCAGTTGCTCAGTAGCTTCTTGTCACAGGTGTGGGGGATAGGTCAGGAGCACAAGGAGCTATTTCTGGGCTCTGGCCTTTGGGAAAGGAGCTATGTCCTGTTTACACATCCTCTCTCCAGATTTGCACAACCTGACCACAGAAATGTCATCTTCCAAGCCCAGGTAAATAGAAGCAACCAGATAAGTCTGGTTGGCCAATGTCTACTGAGTAACCAAGGGAGGCCAGAACCCTATAGTAGGCAACTATGATAAATATAGAAGAAAAGAGCAGCCTAAGACTCCTGACCTCGGACTGCTGGAGCAGAAGCATATTCCTATCTGGGGGAGGAGGTCACACATTGCAAGTTTCGAGCCCCTCTCTCACATGAATGACTCTTGGTCCAGTCACCCCTCCCAGCAACCACCCACTTACACCACCAAATTGAGGTGTCAATGTTAGCGTGAACCCTAGTTTATCTTGCAAGAGTGAGAGGAGGAAGAAGGAAGTCTCTTATTCAATGATGAATAGCTGGCTCAATCAGGTCTCCCTCAGAAAACAAACTGAAGGGAAGAAAGAGCCTGTGTCTGGATCACCTTCTTCAAAAAGTTAGGTGGGGGGAAAAAAAAAGACACAGGGCAACAGGCTGGGCACAGGGGTGAGAAGGGATGGGGAGCCTGGTTGCTCTACAGAGCTAGGGAAAGAAACCAGTTAGAAGGGAGGCCCTGGTCACACATCTAAATGTGTCCCTGCAAAGTCCCCAGAGGCCAAAAAGCCTGTCAGGAACTGGATATTTTGCCAATTCTGATAGCCCCAGAATGAAACCTACCAGCCTTCCTCTCTTTTCCATCAACAGAACTTCATCTTCAGCCCCCATTTTCAACATTGTTTTTGTTTAATATCTTAAGGGGGGAAAACAATGTTTGTGTAGGGATCTGCCAAGAGGTGAAGTCGTGCTGCCCAATAAAAGGACAGTTTTTTTTGAGAAGTGGCCAAACCCCACCAATTGCTCTGTAACTGAGGGGAGGCCTTCACCAACTAGGATTGGGGGTGGGGTGGGGTGGGGTGGGAGTCAAATGAAATAATTTATGTCAACTTGTTGAGCCCAGCCTGGTCTCTTGGGGCCAAATACACGTATTTGTTCTTTCTTTGTGGTATATATTGTCCTCTGGGGTTAAATGGGAGAGAGGAAAACTTCCCTATTGAGCTTGCACATTTTCTGACTGTCCCAGGAGCTTCATCACCCCTGCCTTCTACCATCCTAGTCCAAGACCTTTCTTCCTAAATAGGCTTCCTGCTTCTACACTTGCCTCCTAGTTTATTCTCCACATAGCAGCCAGAGCGATATTTTAAAAAATGTAAATTGTTATCTTGTCAGTTTCCTGTCGAAAACTCTTCAAACGCCCCCATCGCACTTAGGAGTAGAAGTTAAACACTTCACCAAGGGTTACTGGGCGGGAGGGTGACCTACACCCTGCTGACTTCGCCTCCCATCATTCCTCCTACCGCCCATTCTGCGGCAACCACACTGACCTTGGTTTCTGAGCCCGCCAAGACTGTGACCTCCTTAGGGCTTTGGTACTGGCTATTCCCCTTGCCTAGAATACCCTTTGTTCTTCTTACCTCCCCACTCTAAGTAGCGAACCCACCCTCCCTCTATTGGCCTCGCAGCAAATGGTAATGATACGAACTCACCCCGGCTGGTCTTATCATTTGCTCACTTCTTTACTGTCTGTTTTCCTCACAACACAAGCCCGAGAAGGGAAGGCGCCGTGTCTATCTTGTCTATCACCCAATCTCTGGGGTCAAGCAGAGCCTGGCACGTAGTAGATCTCTAGTATTCGTTAGATAAATGAGCTCTTCAAACCTGAACCATCTTGAGAGGTCTGTGAGGAAAGGGAGGTTCTGTAAGGCTGGGGATCAGAGTCCTGGTCTGTCTGAATACAGACCTCGCCTTCCTTTCAGACACCTCGCCCCTTTCCATGGCGGGAGTAGCGCCCCCCACCCCTTCTCACACACTTGATTCCCCTTTCTCCAGAGAGGATAGGCCCGAATTCCAATCCCTTCTCCGCGCCTGGTGCCAGCCCCCAAGTCCTCCTACATCTCGGGGGCTCAGAGACACCGCCCTTTTCCTAAAATGGACCCTGTCGGGTGCGTGCAACCCCCTCCCTGGGTCCCCAGTCAGGGCACAGAGGAGTCCCGCACCGTCTATGGTAAAATGGAGCGAGATCCCTGGTCCACCTGTGGTATCGCCTCAGGTCCCCGACTGTGGCCCCCTCCCAAGCTAGGGAGCCCCCAGGCCGTGTGGGACGAGGAAGACGGTCCAGGCGTCAAGGGCAATGAGGACATTCAGGCCCGAAAAGGGGGTAGGCTAACTTCGCGCAGTAGAACCTTTCTTCACCATGCCCTCGTTTGCCGGCCGGGCAGCTTTGGAGGAGACACCCGGCTTAACCGTTCCTCCCGCTCGCACCCTCCCCCTCCCGGCCCAGTCTGCGGAGGCGCGCCTTCCTGCCCTCCCCGAATTCGGGGGCTGCTGCCGCGGAAGCGTTCCGTCTAGCCTCGGAGGCCCCCAGGCGTGGAGCTGCGAAGCCATCGTTAGCGTCTGGCGCTTCTTGAGCTCTGGTGGGCGAGGATCTGCGTGTTTCCTCCAGCGGGGGAGGACGCACAGCGGAGGCGGAGGCCGAGGCAGCTTCGGGCCTTAGGCCCGGCCGCCGGGGACTGGGGAGACGCGCCCAGCATTCGCCATCCCGGGCGCGTGCGGTCCTCTTGGGACCTCGCCGGCGACCCGTAGCTCGGGCACGCGCTTGTCGCAGCCCGCAGGAAGGAGGGGTCCGGCCTGAGGCCCCGGGCGGCGGCCGCCATGGAGATCGCCTCGGCCCAGGGCCGGCGCATGGGGCCTCGGGGGCGGCCCTGACCGCCCTCCTCCCTGCCCGGGCCGGGTCGCGGACGTGCCCCCTGCGGCATTCGGCCACCTCTGCGTCTCCGCCCTCCCCGGGCCGCGCTGCTGCCTGGGCGCGGCGGCGGCGAAGGCGCCCTGTTGAATGGGCTGTGGGGGCCCAGGTTTGAAGCGCTGGCGAACGCGGCCTCCGGGGGCGCAAGGCAGCAGCAGCGGTGGCGACCAAACGGGTGTTGGAGTTGGCGGCGGCCATGGAGGGCCTGGCTGGCTATGTATACAAGGCGGCCAGCGAGGGCAAGGTGCTGACCCTGGCCGCCTTGCTTCTCAACCGGTCTGAAAGCGACATCCGCTATCTGCTGGGCTATGTCAGCCAGCAGGGAGGGCAGCGCTCCACGCCCCTCATCATCGCAGCCCGCAATGGGCACGCCAAGGTGGTGCGTTTGCTGTTAGAACATTACCGGGTGCAGACTCAGCAGACTGGCACCGTCCGCTTCGACGGGTAGGTACATCCCAAGCCTCCTCCCACGAGCGCGGACCCACCACCTCACTGGTCCTTCCCTCCTTCACTCTCTCCCCGTAGAGGTATCACTTCTTCCCTTTTGTGCATCCTCCTGCTGCATGAATGCCCGCTTCGTCTTCCAGTGCTAATGCTTGGTCCCGTGGTCTGCTGCCCATCCTCATCAGCCCCTACCCCTTATTCCCAATGTGGGTAAATAGCCACACCCTATGTCTAGATACCTAATGGGTATTCTTCTTCACTGGAGAGTCCGTGTTATGAAGGAGGTGCTCCTTCCCAGGTTTCACCTTTATCGGTATTGGGGTTGTAAGCGAGATCAGATATTAACGCGGTCAGCAGTTAACATCGAAGATCTCTGTTGATGAGTAATTTAGTCCCCCAGTTTTTACTCCTTCAACTGAGTGGTCCCTTCAGACGGGTTGCGGGGGTCTTAATGTCAAAATAAGCCCCTAGAACTCCAGCCTCTTTGAGGGATTGTCAGGCAGCCAGACATCCCTAGACCTGATTCTGACACTTGCACATAGCTGGGGGTTGATAGGTTGGCTGCAAAAATGGCCCTGGGCCTGGTATAGGAGATAATGGCATTGTTAATACATGTTATCTTGTGATATTGTGGGGAAACTTGATGGTTTATGTCATTTGAGGTAGGAAGTTCAAAAATTCATATTGTCATAGTTAAAATTTGTCTTTTAGGTTTAATTGTATATATTGTGTAGGCATGAAAGTGTTTAACACAGAACTATCAGGTTTGACATCTTCTTTGCTGTGCTGGATTATTATAAAGTGTTCTTCAGTTTGCAAACTTCATCGATTGCATTTGTTTTTCTTGACTTTTGTGCCAGTACATAAGCTATTCTAGCATTTTCTTCTGTTTGAGGTAGATGTAGTCCAAGCATAAAGATATATATCTTTAGTTTTGGTGATTGAAAACTGCTTGGTTACAAACCTCATTGGAAAAGCACTTCTTGAAAATAACTAGAGCATTGTTGAATTTTGGTTCTTTTTTAGGTTTAAATAATAAAACAGCGAGAGGAAGATATTTTTAGATGAGAGGAAAATATTATAGAGCATTACATTTTAATGAAATGATAGCTCAGGTTGGTGGTTAATCTCCGGTACCACCTCCCTAGATTTCAAGGAGATGGTTTTTTTCCTCTTGATTAAAGATGGCAACCAGATTCATGTTTGCTTTCCCTTACTGGCTTCTGTGTCCATTCTGGAACTCCCTGCATTTCCACAGCCCTTCCTATACCCAGACAAGGAGTGAGACAGAATGACCCCTGAATTTCAACAGCATTCCAGTTGTATGGGCACATGGATTCACTGAGATACGAATCTCAGTAACAGCTGCTAGAAACATCGAAGCTAAGGAGCTTGCTGAGGCCTTTTTGGATGAGGGGAGGATAGTGGTGGGGAAAAAAATTAGTTTCCTAAAGCATTGGAAAGGTTTTGCTTATTACTGTCTTTTTTACCGTCAGAGAGAAAGTTTTTTGAGATGGAATTAAAAGAACCTGAAGTTAATGGAAATGATTAGAAATACAGCCTGCGTTCTGTACTGGGTGGTGAAATTAAAGGGTTCAGGAGGCAAACACTTACTGAACTGCTGTGTGCTGGGCTGTGTGGTAGGGATTGGGTATGCAGAGGTGAGTAACATACTGTTCCCAATGTGGAGGAAGACATTTTAGCGGGGGAGACAAGAGAAATAGAGATGTAAGTGAGTAATTGCAGATGCCATGCCATTTAGAGTTTTAGAAGTCTGTTGGACTAGTGAGGGATATGGGAATGGGAAGTGCTCAGCTTTGCCTGGGGGAAACAGGGAAGGCTCCCCCCTTCCCATGCTTGAGTTGGGGTCTTAAAGGAAGTGAGGAAGAGGGGCAACAGCATGGTGAACTTGCAGTGACAAGTGTTTGAGTGTGGTTGTAGGAAAGGATTCAAGCTGGGGAAATTAAGAAAGAGATTGTGGGAGACTGGAGAGAGGTGGAGGCCAGATTTTGATGATCATTGTATAAAATATCAGGAGTTCCATGGGGGAGATTGCAATTGCAAACGGTTCAGTCATTCACGATTTTGGCTGAGCATCTTTTTTGTTTATGGATCATTACAGTTATAAATTTATTAGCTGCTGTGTAAGAGTAGTGGAGAATTTTATTTATTAAATGCCTGTGATGGGTCTAGCCCTATTACACCTTCTGTGGAGGATACAGAAAAAATGTAAGGTTTCTGCTTTTTTGAGGAGCTTGCCAATTAATTAACATGGGAGAATTGATGTTCATGGCCACCTTTATGCCCATTCAAACCACTCTATCACTTTTCAGTTTATTCCAGTCATTTTGGCATTTCAGAACTAGATGGCAAATGTCATGATTTCACTTTGCACTCATTCCAGACATTGTGAAAATAGTCTGAATGAGGTGTTAATAATATGCCCACTCACCCCTTAGGTGCTGGCTTTTTGAGATGTATTTAGCAAAATCCCCCTTTATTTTTTTATTTTTATTTTATATATATATATATATTTTTAAATCCCCCTTTAGATTCCCTCAGCTCTTGAGAACCATGGCCAGGTGGGGACTAACAGGTTCTCTGTGTGTACTGATGTAGATTAGTGTTTCCTAGTTTTTAGTCACTTGTGTACCATCTTCACAATTTTTTGTCAAAATTGTTTCTTATCCTGTTATTTGCCTAATATTTAAAAAAGGTTTCACTTCTTAGTTTCATCCTAAGCAACAGTTACTTGTATATAGGTTTGATATGGTATGTTTTGTGAGAGAGAGACATTAAAATAAATAGCTTATTTAAAATTTTGTGAACGTCTATGTTCTGCCTAAAAATTTCTATAATATCTTAAGAAACTCAAGTGGATTTGTAACAGATTCTCAGAGAGGAAGGGACTGCCTACCTAGGTCAAGCCCCATGGTGATATTTGAGCCCTTGTTTAAATTTTTAAAAATAATATTTGAGATCATTTTACTTATGGCTTAATATGTGAAGACTACTATTGACAGACGAGTGGGCAAGAAAAATTACTTGAGTAGAAAGGAAAGAACCTTTAGGTGGAGAATGGGAAACTTAAGAATGTTAAAGAAATGGAACAGAACAAAGGTGAGGTGTCCTGTGACCATGGACTAGAGTGCTGGCCTGAGTTCCTAGGGCCTGCCAGCTCTGTACCAGAGTTTGTGGGGGAACCCTTGTCCTAAAAGAAGTTTGCTGACAGGGATGGGAAGGAGAACAGGACCTCTGGGAGTTCTGAGGCTTTTTGTTGAGTTCTCTCTTAAAGTTGGCACTAGTACTAATACTTTTAATGTTCAGGTAGAGGACAGGCTTGAGGGCCACATCATCATTTGGTTTCATTTAAAAGTCATTGCCATGCAGTATATATTTCAAAGAAACTATGTTTGGTCTAATAAACAATTTTAAGGACTTTGGTTAAAAAAAAGTGTTGCTCATTTACATTTAATGAGTTTTTATTTCCATTTCAAATACTTGATCAGACATTTTTATTTTAAATTGAACCGGGAAATAGTTTCAGCTTAGTTTTGTGATCAGAAATGTTATCTTTTTTTTTTTTTTTAAAGATTTTATTTATTTGACAGAGATCACAAGTAGGCAGAGAGGCGGGCAGAGAGAGAGCAGGGAAGCAGCTCCCTGCTGAGCAGAGAGCCCCGCTTCCAGGACCCTGGGATCATGACCTGAGCCCAAGGCAGAGGCTTAATCCACTGAGCCACCCAGGTGCCCGAAATGTTCTTTTATTGTAAAATGTTTCCATCATCTGATGTGTACATTTTGTTTAAAAAGGTGAATATCAGATTATAGTTTATTTTTATTTAATTAATTTTATTATTTTTTAATGTAGTCTCTACCCCCCCCAACGTGGGACTTGAACTCATGACCCTGAGATCAAGATACACACACTCCACCTACTGAGCCAGACAGGTGTCCTGCTTTCTTGATTTTTTTGTTTGTTGGTTGGTTTAAAGATTTTACTTATTTAGAGAGAGTGCACAGGAGCTCGTGCTTGCGTGTGTGGGGTAAGGGCAAAGGGAGATGGGGAGACAGAGAATCACAAGCAGACCCTGCCCTGAGCCTGGAGCCGCATGCAGGGCTCAATTTCACCACCCTGAGATGGAGCCCTGCATCGGGCTCTCTGCTCAATGGAGAGACCTCTCCCTCTGCCCGGCCCCTCCCCTGCTCGTTCTCTCACTCTCTTCCTCTATCTCAAATAAATAAATAAAATCTTAAAAAAAAAAAAAGATTCTTAACTGACTGAGCCACCCAGGCACTCCCTGGTTTCTTGATTTTTTAAAATGAAATACATTATAGAGAGTTTGGATTACAATTTTGGAGTGAGTCTAGAAAGAACTTTGTTTTATAGTACTTCTCCCTTGGGGACTAAGTACATATTGCATTAATTTATCATATTTTTATTTTCTGTTATAAATGTGGTATGTTGTTTTGAGGAAGTCTGTGCTCATTATTTCAGCTGAAGCCTATGGACAAAGGACTGTCATAGATTTTAGGCTTATGATTCCCTTTAATCTGTTTAAAGTTTTTGTTTAGATGTAGAAGTTCAAAGTTTGCTTAGGCTAATGTTTCTGAAGGACTAGTCTTTTTCTAATACATTCTGCAGTGAATATTTTTATCCTAAACTCAAAAAAATTTTAATTGCCTCAATAAAAATAGATAATTGAAATTTTCTTGAGGCTTCTGTTACATCACTCTATGGAAAAATGGAAACCGTTAGGCTACACCACAAAAAGTATTAAACTGTTACAAAAACCAAGTGAAATATATATTTATAATTTAATTTGTACTCCTACATCATTAATTCTGGGACATTTGAGGAGAGAAAAATATTTTAATCACTTTTTGCCCTTTTTTTCATCTTTAAAATGGGGATCATATTTATCTTTTATGGTTATTGTGAGAGTTAAAAATAATATTTGTGAATTCCTATTTTAATGTAACATTTTCAAGTTTTACATAGTTTGGGCTCATGTATATAATAATTTCATATTTTTAAAGTGCAAGGAAACATTTAACCATGTAAGTATAACTACATATTAACTATTTTTGATAGATTACTGTTAATTAGTTTGAAAAAATGCTTTTAATTTTTTGGAAAAAATGCCTTTTATATTGAAACTGAACAATGACATGTATTATGTTTCCTTAATACATAGAGTACTATGTACTAGAGTACTTTTGTGTTTTAATCTCAAGTAAACTTTTAGTTATGTATCTGTAAAATGAGCATAATAATAGTGTTATCTCAGGGTTTTTGGGAGGAGGTTATTATGAGGATTAAATGAGATATATTGCATATTGAGCCCTTAATACAATGAGTGCTTGGGACATTGAAGATACTTATTAGCTATTTGTGTTCCTTTAAACTGTTATGCTTTAATTGTGTCTCATTTTTGTTTTTAATTATAACTTTTTATTTAAGGTGTAACATCTAGTAAGGTGCATACATTTTAAGTGTACCATGTGATAAAATTTTAATATGTATAGCCATGTAAACACCTTCTAGATCAATATCCAGAAAGTTTTTGTCACTCAGAGTTTCTCTTATTCTCCTCAGTCAATTCCTCTCCTTTCCCTTCTCAGAAGTAATGATTATTCTGACTCTATCACCGTAGATTGCCTATATGAACTTCTATAAAGGGAATCATACAATATGCTCTTTTCTTTCTGGCTTTTTTTTTTTTTTTGCTTAACACATTGTGAGATTCATCTGTGCAGTTGCGTATATCAGTAGTTTTTTTTATGCTTTGTGGCATTCCATTGTATGAATATACGGCAACTTACTTACCCTGTACACAGGTATTCAGTTGTTTCCAGTGTTTGACTGTTACAGGAAAAAAGCTGCTTTTTTATGTGTACGTCTTCACTGGTGGGTGTTTGTGTTCACTTCTTGTCAGTATATGCCGGAGAGTGGAATTGCTGGGTCATGGGGTTGGTGTATGTTTAACTTTAATAGTTACTGCTAAACAGTTTTCCCGAAAGTGTTTCAAAAAAATTACATTCCTACCAGCAGTGAGAGTTTGAGTTGCTTCACATCCTGGCCAGCACTTAGTATTGTCATGTCAGTCTTACTAATTTTAGTTATTCTAGTGCTTGTGTATTGGTAGCTCATGATTTTAATTTGCATTTCCCTTTGCAGTAGTTATCTTGAACATCTTTTCATATGTTTATGGTCACTTGAATATCTTTTGTGAAATACATTTGTTTATTAGTCTTTTTGGCCCATTTTTTAATTTGGGTTGTTTGTCCTTTTCTTACTGATTTGTCAAATACATTTAATGTAAATGTCTTCTCCCAGTGAGTGGATTGCATATTTATTTCCTTCTTAATATCTTAATGAATTGAAGCTCTTAATTTTAACGAAGTCCAGTAAATCATTTTTTTCCCTATGATTAGTGCTTTTTTTGCATTCCTTTTAAGAAATAGTCATTAACTCCAAGGTCATGAAGATAGTCTACTTTTTAAATTTTTTTTTAGAAACTCTCATGGTTTTGCTTTTTATATAGATCTATGCTACTTCCCTAATTTCTATGCATAGTGTGCAGTTTGATGAGAAATTTCTCTAAATATCCACCCATGTAGCCACAACCCAGATCAAGAGTTAGGACATTTCCGATAGCTTTAAGACTCTTCCTAGTTAGTCCTGTACCCTCTCCCCTAGGTAACTCCCTCCGTAGGTACTTGTTAGTGAGCAGGCTTTTGTGGTCATTTGGTGCCATTATTTGAAATTGAAGAATTAATTGCTTGAATTCTTATAAAGTGGGTCTTTTGTTTTCAGCAGAAACAACAGACAAGTGGTGTTTTGGGAATGTTGTTAGTTGGGGTTAAGCTATGATATTTATATTCTACCAGGGGATTATACTCTTTCACTTGATGGGCGATATAGTTTGACCTGTGTTAAAACATTAGGTTGTATACTGAGAAGCTCAGCGTGAGGTTTTTGGTATAAATAATAGTGCTAGTAAATACTGCTTTTGATTGACCTTTTCTCTTAACACTTGTAAATATACTTATTTTAGTGGTTCAAGTACAGTATATCTAAGTATGTGTGGCAAAAGTCTGCTTTTTAGGTCTGATGGTCAGTAACAGGATAAACAGTTGAAAAATTGAGGTTGGGGAAAAATGGAAAGTAGAAAGATGGGAAAGATTGGCCTCCTAGCAAGTGTCTAATTCTATTATAAGAACCTAGCACATATCAGACAGTAGGTGGTGACTGTGAAGCCACAAAGTGCAGACATGGGCCGAATGTCAGGGAAGAGGCCCACTGGTTTTAGGAAAGTGCTGATTGTTTCTTGCTGTTAGCATTTCCCTCAGTGGTTTCGTTGAGGAACACGCCCATAATATACACACACATACACATACGTATTTTTAAAAACTTTAAATTGGAGTAGAATGGATGGAGAAAAATGCACTAATTGAAAGCATTTATAAGTTTCACAAAGTGAATGTATTTGTTTACTAAAGTTCCCTTTGTGCTTCCTCCCACTATCTGCTCCCCTTAAACAGTGTTCTAATTTCAATACCACAGATAGGTGTATAAATGTAGTAATATATGTACTGTGTTCGGTTGACTTCTTTTGCTCAGCACCATGTTTATGTGATTGTTCTGTATTACATGGAGCAGGGATTTTTTTGCATTCTCATTGCTGTAGTAGAAGTATATTTGATTAGCTTAGATAATCTTAGGGGCAATTATCTGCTTAAGTATTTTTTTTCTTTAAAGCAGTTTCTAACACAGTGTTAACTGTAGGGACTGGGGTAGCTTTCTTACTGACCTATTGAGAGAAACTGTGGTACCTGGGGGATACTGGGAAGGAGGAACAGGTTTTTCCTTAATAGCCAGTGCATGAACTTGGTGGTAAAGAAGTTATGAACCTCCTTGCATTTCTTCTGTGTTTTGTGAAATGTATTTACTTTAGGTAGTAGAAAGTTTGTGATTTTTTTTTTTTTTTTTTTAGAATTATATACTTTAGCAGTAACCGTAATAGTTAAGGTTTGTTGAGCTTCTGCTAGGTAGAAGTACAGTGTAGAGTGCTTTAGTTAAGTTACCTGATTTTGTTTTCACCCAAACTAATGTTGTATTCATGTTCCACAGATTGAGGTTTCAGTCAGTGCAAACGAATCCATTCTTTACACTTATGTTAGGACGTGTGGCCTGTGTTTTCTGACCCTTTGCTCTTTTCACGAATAGGTATGTCATTGACGGTGCCACCGCTCTTTGGTGTGCAGCAGGAGCCGGACATTTTGAAGTTGTTAAACTTCTAGTCAGCCATGGAGCCAACGTGAACCACACCACAGTGACTAACTCGACCCCGCTGCGGGCGGCGTGCTTTGATGGCAGACTGGACATTGTGAAATACTTGGTTGAAAATAATGCCAACATCAGCATCGCTAACAAGTACGACAACACCTGCCTGATGATTGCAGCGTATAAGGGACACACGGACGTGGTCAGGTACCTTTTAGAACAACGTGCTGATCCCAATGCTAAAGCACATTGTGGAGCCACAGCGCTGCACTTCGCAGCTGAAGCCGGGCACATAGATATCGTGAAGGAGCTGATAAAATGGCGCGCTGCTATAGTCGTCAATGGCCACGGGATGACGCCCTTAAAAGTAGCCGCCGAAAGCTGTAAAGCTGATGTCGTCGAACTGCTGCTCTCTCATGCTGACTGTGACCGAAGAAGTCGCATTGAAGCTTTGGAACTCTTGGGTGCCTCCTTTGCAAATGACCGCGAGAACTATGACATCATGAAGACGTACCACTACTTGTATTTAGCCATGCTGGAGAGGTTTCAGGATGGTGGTAACATCCTGGAGAAAGACGTTCTCCCACCGATCCACGCTTACGGGAATAGAACTGAATGTAGAAATCCTCAGGAACTGGAATCCATTCGGCAAGACAGAGATGCCCTTCATATGGAAGGCCTTATAGTTCGGGAACGGATTTTAGGTGCCGACAATATTGATGTTTCCCATCCCATCATTTACAGGGGAGCTGTTTATGCGGATAACATGGAATTTGAACAGTGTATCAAGTTGTGGCTGCATGCCCTGCACCTGAGACAGAAAGGGAACAGGAATACCCACAAGGATCTTCTTCGATTTGCTCAAGTTTTTTCACAGATGATACATTTGAATGAAACTGTGAAGGCCCCAGACATAGAATGTGTTTTGAGATGCAGCGTTTTGGAAATAGAGCAGAGTATGAACAGAGTAAAAAATATTCCAGATGCTGATGTCCACAATGCCATGGACAATTATGAATGTAATCTCTATACTTTTCTGTATTTAGTGTGCATCTCCACCAAAACACAGTGCAGTGAAGAAGATCAGTGCAAGATTAATAAGCAGATCTACAACCTGATTCACCTTGATCCCAGAACTCGGGAAGGTTTCACCTTGTTGCATCTAGCCGTCAACTCGAATACCCCGGTTGATGATTTCCACACCAATGATGTCTGCAGCTTTCCAAATGCGCTCGTCACAAAGCTGCTGCTGGACTGTGGTGCTGAGGTGAACGCTGTAGACAATGAGGGCAACAGCGCCCTCCACATTATCGTTCAGTACAACAGGCCCATCAGTGATTTTTTAACCTTGCACTCTATCATCATTAGCCTGGTCGAAGCTGGCGCTCACACTGACATGACAAACAAACAGAATAAGACTCCGCTAGACAAAAGTACCACTGGGGTATCTGAAATACTGCTTAAAACTCAAATGAAAATGAGTCTCAAGTGCCTGGCTGCCCGAGCGGTTCGGGCTAATGACATTAACTACCAAGACCAGATCCCCAGAACGCTTGAAGAGTTTGTTGGATTTCATTAAGCGACTGGATATGTAAAATCGTTTAATGTGGTGCTAAAAAGTAAAGGACTTTAATCACAGACAATAGAATTATGTGTTCATAAATTCTACTTTTCTTTCCACTACCCTTCCTCCCTCCGCATCCTTCCTTAGTTCTGTATTTGGTCTTTCTGCCTCATAACGGTTATTGATTTCAAATACACTTTAAACAAAGCCACATTGTTTAGGTGTAACTATAAGGTATCTGAATACTGGTCACTTAACTTTTTCTTTTTCTTCGTTTGTGTCTTTTTCTTATTGAAGTATAATTGAGATATATTAGGTATACAACAGAATGATTCGATATTTGTGGTTTTTTTTTTAAGGAATGAGTATAAAATATTTTGTTTATGTTACAAGGGACATTTATGATTTGAAGTTGATAATGTTTTAAAAAACTGCCTACAAAAGTATTTCTGTTAAGCCTGTGTCAGTGTGTTATCCTTGCAGCAGTTTTGAGGATCTCATGAAGAAAAAGAACTAAAAAGGACCAATAAGAGTAACGGGATATCCAGGTGTTCTGCACGTGCCAAACTGCTGTAGGTAGTCTTCGCTCTTCCAATATGTATGTGGAGTGATACAACACATTATAACATCAGGAGGATTTCAAAAAATACAGCTGCAGCTTAATCTGAAAATGTGCTGATTTAATAATAGTTACACATTTATAAATTTCAATCCATTGAAATTGTTGCATTATGCTGAGTGATATATACAGAGTAGTAAGAATCTTAAAGCAATGTTTCAGAGAATACTGATGGACTACTTGCCTTTAGGCTTAAATTCTAAAATTCTTCGAAGTCTCTGTTTTAATGTAATTTCTCTAAACTGCAGCAGTCTGCATTTGACTCAGCTCACAGACATGTAAAAATTATGAATGCTGTGTTTTCTTATGAAACAAATTGTTATAGTTATACATTCTGTTTTTGTCCCTTTCTCCCTTTCCTCCTGTGTGGTCTCTTAAAATTTGGAAACTGCTTTTCCAGAGGGCATTGTTTGTGTGCCCCCCCCATAAGGTGTTTATGACAGAAGAAAAGGAACCCAGGATATTTGTGATTTTTTTTTTTTTCACTTTCTCTACTTTGTCCCTTATTACTAGTAGGAAAATCGCTAGTGTGGTATAAGAAATTAAATGGTTTTGATGGTAAGAATAATTTGCAGTGCTCTTTTGAAAGGTGTTTCTGTGAGAGCTGCAAGTTTTTCAACCGCAAAATGTCACGGATTCTGATAGGCTATGCAGAGGTCTCTGTGTTTTTTCTGTTCTGTTTAAATGGCAGACTGAAAGTATTCTGTGATTATCTTTTAAGCATCACAGAAATTCAAGTAAAGGGTACACACCTATCGATGTTAAAAATGATAAAGTAAAATTAGCTATATCTGTATTTTTCTCTCTAGTGCCAAATGAATGCCTTAGCTACTCATAGTGCATGGTACTGTAAGTGAAGACCTGCAGCTTTTTTTTTCTTTAATGAAAAGCATTATGATTGTGTAGTACCATCAGATATAAACTAAAAAAACAAACAACCCTCCCCAACATTTATGGTTTCAGTGGTCATTTTATGTATGCATATTGTTTTGTGAAGTAGAAGAGAAGGATCGCAGTTGGATCAGTAGGAAATACAATGACCAAGCCAAAAGTAGCACCTAGGGCCTTAAATAAAATAGATACCCCATGAAATGAAATAGTTTGAAGGGTGGGAGGAAATGGCAGGTGGGAAGCTTAAAAACTTTTCCCCCCAGGAGTGCGAGATACTTTTCCAGCTACTGTAGTTACTCTTCATGTTCTTCTTGCTTCAGCTGGGAATGTTTCGATAGTAAATTCTGTCATGGTAATATATTTTTGTTTTCCTAACCTGAGGTTTTTACAAGGAGGGTTTTTAGGATGGTTTAAAGGGAGGTATTTGAGCCCTAATTTGAAAATTACAGGCCTTGCTCCTCTGGTATGAATCAAGAAAATACTGTACCTTGCTCTTGGCAACTCTCATGGCCTGAAAGAGAAAATGCATGGCCTCAAGGTGAGTGAATCCTGCCTTTTCCACAGCTTAGATCAGACCCTGTGTTTTTCAGACTGCGGGGCTTGCTTTGATAGCCTGAGGAGTGGCTTTGATAATTGGTATTCAGTTGGTTCCATTATTAATGTGTATGGTTTTTAAACACCAAAACTTAAAATATCAGATAATGTTGCATGTTTTAAAAACCATTTCATCCCTTTGGCTATCCAGGACCAGCGCTATTTTCGGTATTGCTTATTTATAAAATGAGGATAATGATTATATGTACATATTCAGACATCAAAATTTAATGACAGTGTTTTTGAGAAGGGATGAATGCTGGAGAAAATAGAACTGCTGATTGAAATGCTGACAGAGTTGGAGAAAGAATTTGAAGACCGTGGAATAAACTATGAACTCTGCTAATGGTAACACATTTTTTTACTATAGTATAGTAGTACATTGTTCACTCTATTGCTAAGGATCTAATTTTATCTTGTAAAATAAGTCCAAGTATGTATTGTGAAACATCTGTATAAAACCATTCTTGAAACAAGTGATCTACATGCCTGTTTTTTATTTGTTTTGGTAGAATTATTTTAAATCTGTTTAGCCAAATCCTTCCCAAGCTTAAGGGGTTTTTTGTTTTGTGTCTGTGTGCGTGTTGTGTGTTTTAAGGAAAATAAATTGGTAAGAAAGATAATCTGCATCTCCGCTCACTGAGAACTCTAGGCTCTATTTCCAGCCACTTTTGTCATTTCCAGTTTATTATTGGTAGAAATATGCTTCGGATTGTAAGTCTTCATTGAGGATACTGCAAATTCAGTCAAAACTTCTTTGTCTTGCTCAGTAATTGTCCTACAAATTTGGCTGAGCTAGAGGCCCAGGTGAATGACAGCCTGGGCAAACCATGTGAGACTTCGGTGGGTTTTACACTTACAGTGGAGTTGGTGAAATTGAACTCTTGAACTTAGGTAACTGTTTAACTCAAGGAATGGGCAACAAAGCCATCCCCACAATTGGTCAAGAAGGGGGAAATCTTTGATGTAAGAACTCAAGCACAACGTAGTTTTTTTCAGTTTATTTAGTGCATGGCTCTAGCAGGCCACAGTCCAACTACCTTAAGGTTCTTTACTGTGGGAACTGAAAACAAACCAACCAAAAAGCAAGCTTTGGTCTGACTTGTTTCTGGGAAGGTTTTTGTTTCATTATACTAATAGTTGACTAATAACTGATAATCATTGAGAAACTTAGGTACGATAGCACTGTTCGAAGTATGCATTTGGCAAGTGTTTTTAAAAAAAATTCAAATCCCAAGGGAACAACAGCACCCTGTCACCAGTCTCCACTGCAGTTTGAGGCAGCTGCTTTATGGATAAGACCATTTCGGATTATTCACGCGGAAGCATTTCTTTTTTGGAATGGGGCGGGGTGAGGCGTGAGTTGCTGGACTTCGGGTTACAGTTTGCTGGGTTTAAAAGCAACCAGTGATTGAACTAGTGAGTAGATGGATAAGACTATATTAAAGGACTTGCTTTTATGGTAGATTTTCTGTAAAAATCTTAAATGTTCCTTTTTAGGCTAGCCAGATATATCTAGGTACAGATGACTATTCTGTTTTCCTCACTGACTATGCTGTAACATTAAAATGGATTAAAGAAAACAAAACTCTGCCTTTTGCTCTTATGAAAAGTTACTAGTCCATAAGATGTTAGGCTGCGTGTTTATTCCTACCCTGAAAATACACAGCTCTGTTCTGGATACCCTCCCTGGAAGGTAGAAAGCTCCTGGTTATGTATGGCATATCGCAGGGCTTTCTCCTACATTTCTGGCAGATTTGCCCAAATTTCTCAGATGGGCTGGGCTGTATGTACAGCATCCCCTCTCCCAAATATGGGATCTGACCTAAACAAACTGATAGTGATGATAGATGTATTAATTTTTAAAACTGTAAAGTAAATGTGGTCTCTAGTCCCAGGTTTGTGGCGTGTTCATTTGTGTTAATGTGCAGGGAAGGGACATCGACTTGATGGTTATGGGGAGCGTATCTTGATGTGTGTGCAGGGGTGAGTATTGCTAAATTATTAACAGCTTTTCATTTAGGGGTGAGTCATGTGATCAGTGGCCTAATCAGAAAAATGAAGGAGCGAAGATGCAAGCTTTGCCAAGTGATGAAGTAAACAAGGTTTTGTATCTGTTTTTTATCAGGTGTTGTAAAATTTGTGCATGGCTTTTTTTTTTGGTTGTGGCTTATTAGTAATTGGTAGAGGAGAAAAGATGAGGAAAACCCCTCAGCGTTGCTAACCAATCTTTTCAGAGTTACTTAGTTGGGGAGTAAAATCCGACTGGCCCTAATGTGTTGAAAAGATCCTATCCTCTATAATATTCACCCCATCCTGTAATCCTCTGTGTAGAAAAACAACATTGTTGTATTCTAGTAATTCCCTGTGATTTATAACAAACCAGTGATGTCATTCTATTGTGCACTTTTGTCAAACCATTTATGTGACTTTAATAAACATAGTAAACTTACTGACTGCGCCAGAGGTCTGTTAGTGATTTATATATTGCATGGCATTTTCTATTTGAGTTTGACATGTAGAATCATTTTTAATTTCGTGGCAATTGATAGTCCTAATAGCCCAGCTAATTTGAAGCTTAACAATATTGCTGTGTAAAAGGAAAAAAAAATGGTGTTTGTGTTCAGTAAATGTTTGAAAAAAAAAAACCTGCCTTGAAGTTTGTGTCTTTATTGTTCAGTGTGTCTTAGTGGAGATGATCTTTTGTTGAGTGCATTTAAGAAAGAGTTGTCAAAGTTATATGTGCCTGGGGAAGAATTCAGCTAGTAAAGAAAAATTCAGATAGTAAAAAACAAAAAACTCCAGTGCCCTCTCCATCTCTACCTGCCTCCCATTTAGACTCTTAAGAGGGCAACACTGTTTACTAGATTTTTTAAATAGCTTCCCAGAATTTTTCTGTGCATATATGTATTTTTTCTCCTCTTCATTTATTAAAAATGCAAATGGGCTTTTTCCTACTGTCTTCTGCATCTTGTGTTTTTCATTTAATATATCTTGGACTTCTTCGTATGGGGATGGTTGTTTCTTCTTTTCTTTCCTTTTTAAAAAATCATTTATTTATTTGACAGAGAGAGAGACAACAAGAGAAGGAACACAAGCAGGG